CGTCGCCTTCGCAGCGATGTTGTGAAACAAGCCGATCACTTCGTGAACTCGGCAACCAGGTTACCGCTTTTTTTTCACCGCTTTTTTTTTTTGCAGTAACCATGAATGGTGATCGAGTAGATCACGTTGTGCGGGGTGGAGAACCCTCACTCCTCGCAAGGGGGATGGTCGCACCACGTTGTGTGAAAATGGTCAAGCACCCTCGAGGCAGTTACACAGTGCTTTCCAACTGTCTCTGAAAGTAAAAGCACCAGAAAATAAATTAAGTCATACGCAGCTGTCATCCGTACGCAAGGAAGTAAGCACAAGATGCCGAACACCCTTAGCAGGATGCAGCGCACCCTTCATGCGACTGGCCGAATATCTCACGGCGCTCCGCTCTTGGTGATGTGCGAGCCTGGTCCGGTGAGAACCTGGCGTGCTCCGTCCCGACTGTGTAGGGATGCGAGGTCAATGGTCCTAACGACTACGGCATGCGAAACATGAGTATGCCCCCCCTCCCGCCGGCTCATTTATCTCTTGGGATTCCAGGTGGAGGCGGGCATGAACGTGTTAGTGGCGGGTCCGAACGGGTCTGGAAAGTCCAGCCTCTTTCGAGTGCTGGGGGGCCTGTGGCCGTTGCGGGGAGGCACGCTGTCGAAACCCCCTACATCTCGTTTGTTTTACGTGCCCCAGAGACCCTATTTGGCACTGGGGACCCTGCGGGACCAAGTGATCTACCCGCATACGCGGCAAGAGGTGGGAGGCAGAGTGACCGCTACTTATCTGTACTGCGCACCCTTGGCCGCTGTGTCAAGCGAGGAGATTGTGGTTCTGCGTGCTTTGGATCGGTGTGTGGTGTTGTCTGCAGTTTCGGATGGGTCGTGTTTGTTCGTGCAGAGCTGCTGGACATCAGCAGCTGTGTTGTGTGCGAGTTGCGTCTGGCTTCGAGGAGGGCAGGGCTACGATAGATTCCGTCCATGCTGAGGCTGCCCCAACGATCAGCTCATTCTCTCTGTTGTAGTCCGTTGCTCGGCAGTACAAAAGCCAGTGAGGCCTTCGATGGTAATGACTGTTTTGCATCAACCATGACTATTTTGGATTAGCCATGACTGTTTTGGATTAGCCATGACTGCTTTGGATCAACCATGACTATTTTGGATTAGCCATGACTGTTTTGGATCAACCGTGACTATTTTGGATCAACCATGACTGTTTTGGATTAGCCATGACTGTTTTGGATCAACCACGACAACGCGACCAAGTATCCCGACCAGTCACAATCCCAACTGACTATTTTGGATCAACCATGACTGTTTTGGGTCAGCCATGACTGTTTTGGATCAACCACGACAACGCGACCAAGTATCCCAACCAGTCACAATCCCAACTGACGCTCGAAAAAATACCTCCAACCTCAGTAGTAAGCCTTCGGGCACACGATGCGTCACCGTTATGTCCAAGGCTGATATACGTTGTCGTACACCCCCCCCCTGCCGACATGAGAACGAAAAATGAGCTGACTTAGTGCATCGCTCTCAGGCGGCCTCAAAGGGAGTCACCGACATCGACCTCCTGTCTGTGTTGGACTCCGTGAGGCTGGGCTACGTGCTGGCCAGGGAGGGTGGCTGGGACGCGGTTCGGGATTGGAGCGACGTCCTATCGGGCGGCGAGAAGCAGCGGCTGGCCCTCAGCAGGCTCTTCTACCACCGACCGCAGTTCGCCATCCTCGACGAGTGCACAAGCGCCGTGAGTGACGTAGCCTTTGTGCTTGACCATGTGATGTCCGGCTACACCTCCCTGAAACTTGTTCGTGTTTTATGCTCAAGTACGGTTCTGCCGCCGCAGTTCCCTGACGAGTGCACAAGCGCCGTGAGTGGTTGGTCATTGACCTTGTCTGCACCTCCCTGAGACTTTGTGTATTGTTCTCAGTTGTGTTTCTGCCATTTCTTGGCATGCTTTTATTGATTGCATCAACCGCTGCTTGTTAACGGCGGAGTGATGCAATGCTGTGGCAAGTGTGCCGTTATAGTTGCCGTTGATCCTGCTGGTGTAGGTCTTAGTGCTTCCAGCGGTGTCGCTGTTGTTGAGCGTTGCTGCTGGTATAATCTGTCGTTTGACGGATCACAGCAGTGTAGCCCTAGTTCTCTGTTACACAGCCTCCTCTGCAGAGCCATACCACGTAGCCGTCGATGTATCACCGGTCACAGCAGTCCAGCCCTCGTTCCCTTCAACACACACCTTCCTCTCCCTGCCAAGCCATGACACGGGTCCTGTCACGCTAAATACCGTGGTGATGGTCCCCATTGTCACGCAGGTTAGCGTCGATGTGGAGGGCGACATCTACCGCCTAGCCGCGAGCAGCGGGATCACTCTCTTCACGGTGTCCCACCGCAAGAGCCTGTGGAAGCACCACGGCGTGAGTACTGCTGTAGTCAATGTCTTCACTTCCTCGGAATGTTTCCCAAAGAACTAGTAGAACACAGGTAACATGGCGAGGACAGACAGCAGAGAAAAGCTTTGACCGAGAGAGACCCAGGCTTGGTTTAGCTTGGGAGAGCTGTTTCTGCTTGCACCAACAACGTAAAGGGCTCGTCTCACTAGTTGATATCCTCGGAACCCTTCTACTAGAAGTATGCAAGATTGAGGTTCGAACCTCTCCGGGGTGACCAGCGCTTAATCGCGAGGAAGCACGATGAGAAGGAGGTACCGATTGAAACTTAAAGACGAGCACCACAGGGAGAAATAGTGATAAAACGAAGAAACTCTATCGTTGAACACTGTCGACTGCTGTTGAGTGAGCGAAACATTGCTATTAATATAATGGATGAGATTTTTCAGGTCTAGTTTTTTTAGGAAGGGGTGTGCTGCGGTATGCTCTTCTCAGCAGACACATCCCGACTTGACACGTTTTATTTAGCGCAGCTGGACACAACAACCCAGCCCGTGCTAAACAGACGTATTGTGGACACCACCACCCCCCCCCAACGCTCCTGGCTGGCGACCCTCCTCGTGTTCCATCCCGGTCTCACTAAGCACTATTAATAATAGGCTCATGAGGACCCACACGAAAAATCGGCGTTCATAGTACCATCGTTTCACTCTTTAGTCAACTCGTAGATATACTTCTTCCCGAAACAATGCTGTGGTTATTATATTCCCACGACCACTTTGCTCGTCTTTTCCGCGAATGACCCCCGTTTGTTTCGCTCAGTACCTGCTGCGATTCGACGGGTTGGGCGGGTACGAGTTCAAGGCCATGTCGGACGTCGCCGGTGACGAGCAGTTCGGTTCTTGACCTGACCCGGATAGATCGGTCACTACGGTAGGAGCGGTAACTCCGCTCGGACACGTAGACCTCGCTCTGTAGAAGTGCGAGTCGTGTGCTCGTTCTCGAGGACCGCTATTGCCTACACTACACATTTTTCGTGTGGACAATAGAGCTAATGTGAGAAATAACAACAACAACAACAACAACAACAACAACTAGGTAGGGTGGTGCTGAGATTACTGTTATTACCACCTGATGATGGAATGTTCATGCAAATAGTGTAGTCCTAGTCAGGTTGGAGAAGCGGTGGGTGTCACGTGTTCGTGGGTAAGCCGTTTCAGAAGCTGGCAATCCGTGGATGCTCACCGCTGGGAGGACTCGGGAGGGGTGGTTGGGGGAGAGGGGCCCTTGATGGCATTGGCCGCTGATCGAGATTACCGCAAGTGAGAGTAGATAAGACGACGATTGAGTTTGTAGGAGCAGATGGGATGATGACACCAAGTGGTTGCTTGGCCGTATATCCACCATAGCTGAGAGCAATCATCGCCTTTTAGTTAGACCTGCACGAACTAATCGAGAGGTCATGGAATACTGGTTTCCTTGCACGTGTGGACGATCGGGTTGGTTTTCCATCGCACCCTCTTCGAGGAGCGGTCGATCGGTCCATCTTACTTGTGCAATCGATCGGGATGGCGCATAGGTGCGTTTGTTGCCCTCGCTGCCAAGGATACCCTATAGGGATCCGGGATGATGCTGTCACCTCGCTGGATGACTTCACACGGAAGGGCTACACTGTACACGCTGGGAGAGGGGGGAAGAAGACCTTCCAACCGTTCTTGGAAAACTGCCACAAGCGACCCAATCACACAGCAGTACGTCGTGTGGGTGGGCGTTTTCCCTGTTCTTTGGCAGTGTGGCGGGCTTTGTCTTGGAGAGCACGCCGAAACGGGCGCTCTCCAACCGAAAATCCCGTGATGGTGAAAATCACTATGGTACTTAAAACACACAACCTCTACCGAAAACACAGATCGAGAGCCATGGCCTGCCAACATCCCCCCAAGACTACAATACTGTGTGGCAACAAACGAACCCTAGTTTGTTAAGGAAAACCAACATAGCAAGGTTTACAAGTAGTAAAACCAAAATAGCAAGCTTCGAAATAAACATCGCCAATCCACACTACCGCGAAAGGAGTGAGACATCCCACCGTCAGGCAGTGGGCCCATCGCCTTACGAAAGGACACACCATCAGACAGACCCACCAGACAGACCCATCAGACAGACCACGGCAATCAATCAACCTGCCTCGGTCGAAGCAGCCCGATTGCTCTCGCTCTCCAAGCAGCGGTGGTACTGCACCAGTCGGCCAACCAAAACCAACTCCACCATAGGCCTTAGCCTTCCACGCGGTGCAACGCCTGTCTATTATTTCAGCAAAAGACGCCCGCCCAGTCAGCAACACCCGCCCGTCCGCTCAGCAAAAGATCCCTGCCCGATTAGAAAAAAAAACGATCAAATTCACCCCCCATGTACGTGTTATTGGAAACTCGCAGCGGCCCAACACCAACGCCGCGCCCGCGGACATGACAAGCAAAGTCCCGCCCCGCAACCACCCCCCCCCCTAAGAACTGATACAGCGACCCCTCCCCCCCGCCCATCTTGCCGGAATCAATACCTGCCATGTGTCAACAACCGGACGCCGGTCCAGATGTCGAGAGCTCAAGCGGATAAGTTAAACATCTTCCGAACCAACAAAAAATGCAATATACCCCCCCCTCGCCACAGCCCGTGGTCATGCGAGGTACCGGTAGTCGCCGGGCTTGTTGGGGTCTCTCTCGAGATAGTCCCGCTCTATCAGGGACTCTATCCTCTTCTTGAGGTCCACAGGCGTCGCGGGGAACTTGACCTGGGAGAAGAGCTCGCTCATGAGCATCGTGTGCGCCAGGTTTTTACGCGCCTTCATGATGCGCACGATCGCAGCGTCCACCTGCGCAACCAATGATTTCGGATGGAGACAAGGAGCGAGGTTCAGAAAAGTTACGACGATACTAGTTGATCAATTGGGGGGACCGAGATGATGCTCATGGGATGGAATGGTCGTAAGGTGGTATATTGACAGCACCATACCGTATCAGGTGACGCTTGGAACGGGAAAAACATCCATCACAACCCATCAACTGGCAGGTGGGAGAGAGCGAGTGGAGCCCGCCATCGGCGAGCCGATACACTAACCGAAACATGAATCACTTCGTACCGTGCTCAGGTATGGAGAGCATTTAAGCCTCCACCATGACACTCCCTCACGGGTCCCAGATAATGGCGTTTATGATACCTCTCTGTTTTCAGCCGCACTGAGACTGACATGTTTTCATTGGTCAGCCGGCTAGCGCGGTCGGTACTAAAAATAAAATAGCACACATGTCCGTGTCCTGGCACGTCAAACATACACCGAAAGATGTCAGATGATAGCCTGGCGCCCGAAACGGACGGGACGAAACACACGCAACTGTCATTATCCTTATTCCCCGTGTCCCTGACCTCACCTGGTACTGCCGGTCTCTGAATACGGCCTCGTGGGTCTTTTCATTTTCTTCCGAGGTCTCCTTGAGCTGGATGCTGTTGATCCTGATGCGGTGCAGCTTCGCCGTAAAGTCTTTGTTGAACAGAAACTTATCGCCGTCGTTCACCTCTCGCCCTCTTGGCTCCTTGTGAAGCACCCTTACCTAATCGCACACAGGGGCCAAACAAGATGAAAACCGTAATGAGTTTCACAACGTGCACAAAACAAACTTTGGTTCACAACAAACAAAGACGGCTTCCTGTTGCATATGTACCACAACGTTATCGCCGGAGTCGATATTGTGGGGG